CCTAACCTAGTGTTTTAACCACTAGACCAGGGGTTCTCAACCTTGGCAACTTTAAGACTTGTGGACTTCAACTCCCAGAATTCCTCAGCCAGCAAAGCTGGCTGAGGAATTCTGGGAGTTGAAGTCCACAAGTTGAAGTCCACAAGTCCAAGTTGCCAAGGTTGAGAACCCCTGCACTAGACCAAACTGGATCCTTATGAACTCTATGCCAATAATAACAAACAAATGCTACCGGAAAAGAAGAAGCACCGCCTGGGGGAAGGTTTGAAAGTTGTTGTTCCTGTTAATTTGACTGCCATCTTTCAGAGCAACTTTGCCAAATACCTGAAAGAGAAGTAACAGCTTATCCATGGTAACCTTTTGCACTTTTGATAAGCCCAACAGTTGGTTTTCTGCAGTATTGAGTCAGATGCTTGTAATATGAAACCTTTCCTATTTTTGAATCCCAATAATAATAATAATTTACTGACACATTGATCCTTAACCATAATTGTCAGATTTTACAAGACAGGTTGGTAGTAAACCTCAACTCTACAGTTTTTAATCCCTTATTCTGGATTATTTTACCTAATAAGACTTCTAGATATGAATTAATTGGATGAAACTCTATTACTGACAAAAATGAAGCTATATACACATAGATTGCCCTCTATGATATAAAGAAATCAATGTCTTTACATAGGTCTATGTTCCAGTTAAAACTGTAAACTCTCCCCTCCCCATCTTTCTTAATTAACTGATGCTTGGATAGCTTAAACACATTTATTTAATTCTCTTAACATCCAAAACATTGTTTGCCCCCTTGCCATATCATCTCCATCTCTATTGTCTTCTCCCCTTCTGTATCGCTCATTTCTTCCTTCTGGTTGTGGGTGGCTGGTGAGTCTTTGCCTGTATTTCAGTTTAAACTGTAGATGAGGCAGCCAGGGAACAGCTTAAGATGTTATACTCTGAATGTGGTTTCTTCTCTAATATTGCTCCTCAAGATGCTGAGTTTGAGCACTCTATAGGGCTGGCTTTTTAGCAAGCAGCCAAAACATTACATTTTAATTGTTTGCTGCTATCTTGTAAATGAATAGTTGAGCCATAACTTTAAAGTTTTTGAAAATTAATTATTCAATTGATGAGTGCATGGAATAGTCACCAACTGGCAGAGGCTTTTCACTGAATGGGGTATATTCCTTTGGGCTGGAATTTCAATCTTAATACGGGATTTTGCATGTTAACAACATATAGATAGCAGCACAGCACAGACCCATTCTGATGCACAGCATCAGATAGACCAGACCAGAAAATCAGCTTCACACAATAATTATTTTTATTGAGATTGACTAATAAAATAATTATAAAAATCTGACTGGGCTGTATCTCCTTCTCCTTATAGTTTAGAGAGTTAGGACATTCTAAACTTAATTCTTTGGCCAAGGTAATAGTTCCTGCATATCTTTATCAAGGATATCTTTTAAAGTATCTACATTGGTAGGCATGCATTGTAGAGTCAGCAAGATTTAGAATGGTGTGATTTTCTGATGAGAGTGGAATGCAGCAAAGCAGCTGTTTAGTTGTGGCATATAATGTGAAGAAATATCTCTAAAAATGGTTTGTGGAGCATCTTTGTGCTATGACAAACAGGCCCAGAGCAAGACTTACTGAAAGAAATGGTTGCAATTGTAAGAAGTGGGAAAGGAAACTGAAAGAAAATGGAGAAAAAGTAATGGAAAATAAAACAATGGGCAGAAATTTTCAACCCACCAAGAAGCCTTTGGGGACTTTACTTATAGTTTTTATATATACTCATGTGCTTTGTTTTCTCCAACCACCAAATATCCCAGCAGTTTGTTAAAGAGCAGCTAGTTTAGCCCTTCAAAATGTTTACTGTATTTATCTGCAACTGTTCTCTGTAATAGGTGATATTTAAAAATCCTATTTATATTTACGTAGTTGTGCTATTTTCAATCCTAATTCCTAATATGTATTTTTTTCTGTTGCTATGATTAATGATCACTAACTATTTCATTGGTTTATCTATGATTATGTCAATTGCCATGTAATTGCCTCTTTGAAAGCTTTTACTATATAGAATAAGGTGTTGCAATATACAAACCTCATTTCTCATTTGTGAATGAATTAAATAGCATTGACCCCAGTTCAGTCCAGACATTAAAAAAACCTTACCTTTTAACTACTAAGTTTAGCCAGGAATCTTAATAAAAATATTGGCAGCAAATCAGCATATTCTCTATATAGGTAAATACTCTAACACAGATTGGCAAGAGATTGTCAATTTCCTATCCCTTATTTTTTAGCAGAGTTTATTCCTCTACATGTTTAATAACTGGCTTTCATCATATACTTCCTTATCAGGAAAAAAATAATTTGTTTTTATTACCTGCATTCCAATAACCGCATAGATGAAAAACAACATAGCTATCAGAAGGGCAACATATGGTAGAGCCTAAAATGAAAAGAAGTTTGAAAATAATAACTTGCATCTATTTTGAAGCTATTACATATGGACTATACATTTTTCTATTTTTAATTTCCACTAACCGGAAATAAATAGACAAGGACTGGCAAGGAAAGCTCTACAGTTATTTAAAATGCTAACAACATATAAAAGTATGTTGTACTGAATTACACTAATTTGCTGACTTCAAAGTTGCCTGCTGTTTCAGGGTGGTGATTCAATATAAAGCTGAGTCTTATTTTATTTTAAATCTTATTTTAAAATAACGTAGATAGGATTACACTTTATGATTAATACATTCTTTTGAAACTGGTATTCCAAAATTACTAATAATTTTAATTAGTAATTTCCATCTTGTTGAACAATTAAGAAACATGATGGCAGAAAGTCTGAATGAAGAATTAGCATGGTTACAAATCAGGTTATTATTCTCAGTCTGTAATCATAGGCATATAGAAAATATGCCTCACTAAATTCTTGTAAAAATGTTTAATTGTAAAAATATTCAATCAGAACTGCAAAGAACTGGGCACAATTTAAATGCTATGTAGATTATTATATTATTCAGATATAATCAAACCCATAATCAGAACCTTGTTGGTTGGTTGTGACCTTTAAAGCCCTACACGATATGGGGCCATGATACCTATGGAGCCATCTTCATCCCATCACATCAGCCTATCCCACCTGATCAGGCAGGGAAGGTATGTTACAGACGCCATTATTTAAAGAATTTTGATTGGTGGGTTCTAGGAAGAGAGCTATTGCCCCCTATTATTCTCCAGAGATGAGACTGGCCCCCACTTTCCTGGCCTTCCAAAAAGGAGTTAAGACATGGCTCTGTAACCTCACATGGTTTGCCCTGGGGAATATGCAGCCATGGGCCTGGTTAGTTCCCTGAAAGGCCTCCTTTTGTCTTTTGACTAATTTTAATCTCTTGTCTCCTTTTAACACTTTTAAAAATGTTTTAACTTTTATACATACAGTAGGCCAAAATTGTGGAAACCTTTTGGGGAAGTGTATTTTTTAGGTTTGATGGCTAATACCACTTTTTTTTGGAGTAGTACCATAAAATTATATATCAATGGAAAGATAATTTAATCAAGAATGTAATGCAACAAAGTTTGTTCAATTATCTGTACTGTATTTTATGAAAAATTATAGCCAAATAAACAGAAAAAGGAAGCACAACTTGCTTAGGTTGCTATCAGGTAGCTTTCCTTCATCTGATTGTAGCCAGTGAGCATGAGTGTTTAGAGAGCCAATCAGGTGTCATCTTGTTTTGGCAATGAGCCAATCAGATCACAGTAGGATTCAGTTATTGATGTCATGTATTGAAGCTGAGAGGAGGACATTTGTCAGTGTGTTATGTGATCGCTATCAAGTTGGTTGGGGTTTTTTTTCTTTCATTTACTAATAATTCATGAGCTTGTAAAAATAATATTAAAGTAATGGTGTAAAGAGTTGACTGGTTGCCCAGAAAGCGATGTAAAATAGTATTATTAAGTGAACAAGGCTACAGCTATAAAGAAATTAGAAGAAAAATTGGTGGAAGCTTAACCAAAGGTGGCATTTCTACTGTACACTTTTCCCAAAAGATTTCCACAATTTTGGCCACTACTGTACTGTTTTATTTTTTAGCATTTTATTGTATACCACCAGTCCCTCTTTGAGGGAGCTGGGCAGTACAGAAATGTGAAAAATAACTAAAAATAAATAAAATAATGTAATTATTATATATTCCAGTCAATATGATGCAAATACAGATATACATGCCTATGTATGCATACTCATGCACATGCACACACAAAGACAAGCACACAAATATAATTGAACAAAAGAGAGACACAGAGATATTGAACCTCTTGATAATACACATCACCCTTGTTTATACTGTATTTCACTCTGGATCACCATCCAATACCTAATACATTGCATTTTAACTCCAAAAAAGCAATTATTTTAAATGTTACGCCTACCTGAAATGACTTAATAAATGTCCATAATAAAGTTCGGATTCCTTCTCCCCTGCTGAGGAGCTTCACTAATCTCATAACTCGGAACAGACGGAAAAATGTGATGGAGATTCTAGCACTGTCTTCACTGTTCTATAGGGTATTATACAGAAATCAAATCATGTAAAAGCCAGAATACAGAACAATTCAGGAAAAAGAAAAACAATAACAAATACAAAGGTGAAAGGTTGGAATATATGTCTCTGGGTCTTTTTCAACTTTATAAGCATGATGTGACAGGAAAAAAATTACATGCTGGTACACAAAATCTGTAGAAATGCTTCACTCATCACATGCATTTCCATGCTTTCCACATTGTTAATAGGATCAAGTTGAATTTGCCTGTAGTAAGGTTTGATAGGTACACTGACAACAAAATCAAATCACTGCATACATTTTTCTAGGACAAATACAGAAAAACCAGTGGAGGAAAGAATAATAAAAAGAATAAGCTTGAAGTAGAGGTACAATCACTGGGGTTAGTTTGCTATCTTACCCCAGATTCATCAGTTGTAACAGTTTCAGTTGGCTTTGGCTTTAAAAAATTAAGAACATTATGTATTAAAATCAAAGTAAAGATGCTGAAAAATAATTCTACTTGACGATACTGTGAAGAGGGGGAAAAAGAATTCAAATTAAAGTTTCATAATATGATGCTGATTAAGAAAAAAAATCCTTTTGACCTGTATCTTCATTAGTTATTTACATTACTGACAGAACTGTGCAAAATGCTATGTTCCACTGTAGTAAGATACGCTTTGTTATTATTTAATGATCTGACCACAGTTGACTATCATGATAGGCTTCCCTCTAAAAAAGGCATGTCAAACTCACAACGTCATGTGATGTCGCGCGACGTATTGCAACTTGTTCCCCATCGCCGGCAATGGGGTGGGTGTGGTTTTGGCGTGATACATCTGGCCCATGGGCCAGAAGTTTGACATGCCTGCTCTAAATCATCCTTCCCCCAAATGATGTCTTCCATATCTATTGGGATCAGAGCCCCCAAATTTCTTACCATATTTGTGTAATTTGCAGAATCCCAACGCATCTGGAAACCATCAGGTAGGGAAAAGCTCTATCGATTCACTAGTCTAGGGGATGGTGCCTCTCTATATAAATGGTGCCTCTCTACATAAATTATTGCCCTTTTTACTATAAAACTTAGAGGTATTTGAAACTTATTTTGTATTTGATATTTGAACTCTTTTGGTTATCGTAATGATTCATAACAGAACAGAATTTGACAAAGGGCTGTTGAGTTATTCACTGGCTGTGGATATTCCATAGAATAGTGAACTTACAAGTAAGGAGTATGGTCTACTCTAAGCTGAATACTTGGCAATCTGTCTGAACAAAATAACAGTGTATTGGTAACTTTAAAGGCACACTTGAATTTAGATGGATAATAATTCATGATTTATAAGAAGTTATGCTTTCGGCATTATTCTGATTTTCTCATAGCACAGAGATCTAAATGGTTAGCAACTTCAGATAAGTCCTTGTTTAACAATCTATTTCCTGCCTTTGTGCCCTCTAGATATGATGGAACTGCAAATCCTCAGATTTAATCTGGGAATTGTGCATGTTGCAATCCAGGTAAGACTGTAGGGTATGAAGTTGGAGAAGGTTAACCTATATTATCCTACAAGAACATTTTTTTGAGAACAGTATAGGCTGTTTTATGTCGAATAGCAAATTAAATGAAGATAATAACAGCTGAATGGAAAGTTCCAGTGAGGATCTGTTAATAACTTTGTTTCTTAAGAGACAATATGGAACGGAGAAAATTTTGAAAAGTCTCTGATTTTAATAGCTGCCTGACTAAAGGGAAGAGAAACCACAAATGCAACAACAAGGGAGCAAGAAATAAAGTTTGTGTAAGAACGTTTGTATGTATTATCAAATGAGTATTGGTCAAGGAATCATTATGAAACATATGCAGCCTATTGCCATATTATATGCAATAACATTCTGGGATAAGGCTAATAGCACTTACTATCTGTGGGGGCTTTCCATTCTCTGTGGAATTCAAATTACTATCTGCTTGGGAACCACTGGGATAAAAGGTTACTTTAACATCTTGAACATTTGAAGGGTTCCTGGGGGCAGCAGAAGAGTACTGGATTATAGATACCTTTGACTTGATTTAAAAAAAATATTTTTCTCACATTCTTAAGAGAAAGAGTGCACTGTTGCTTTACCATTGCTGGAGAGCAAATGTGATTTTCTTGCACTGAGACACATAAATACACACAGACTACAGAACATAGATTATGTTAATTGCAATGGTAGTCAAGATAAAAATCAAGAGAGAGTGAGAGAAATACTCAAATCTCTGCTTAATATGGCCAGCCATTTGAATATAAACTGTTATAGCAATGAAGTTACAATTGGGTCTACTCATATTAGAACATACCCCCAAACATTTTCTGGCAATAATAAAACAATATTTGATATACGTTCTTTGCTAAAATAAGAGGCAATACTCTCATACACAGGAGAACATGAAAATTAATTAAGCTCATGTGCTTAAGGTACAGACTCTTAATATTTAGACTTGCTAAGAAAATGGACTATTTGATCCTTACTTTATTAAAACATTTCACCAAAGGCAGTAATCTGGCTGCAGAAATATTTAAATATCTATGTATGTCCACTAAAAACTATTTGGCATATCCCACAGGCAAGCAAAGACTTGCGTAGAATATTTTGCTTACTGTTTGATCATTTGGGGGTATTTTGATTATTTGGGGGATTTTTTTAGACAAAAACCCTGAATATTAGTGCATGTTTTCTCAGGGTAGTCTTCTGATATTCAATGGAGATTAGACAACCATTCTTTCTTGCCAAAAGTATGCTCGGGAGTCTAGTAGCACCTTTTTAGACTAACAAATTTTATTAAAAGGCCTAAGCTTTTGTAAGGTGTCTCTTTTGATTTCTGCTACCATCAGCTAACATGGCTCTAATTTTATTATGTCTTTAAAGTAGTGGGTTCTCAACTTTTTCCTCACCACGGACCCTTGTTAATTATTTTTTGTGGTCACGGACCCCCAAGACTTAACTCGAGAGTTAAATCATAACATTTCTTCAAGCCTTCACAGACCCCCTATGTCAACATCACGTCCCCCCAAGGGGACCGCGGACCACAGATTGAGAACCAATGCTTAGTTTAAAGGACTGAATGCGCCTAAAGTATGAGGACAAAAGAAGAGCTCTAACCTGGATTTTATTTGAATGTCTCACTCTTTCACATTTTTTTTTGCATTTGTATTTTGCATTATATTATGTATATTAACATCTCAGTCTACAGTTTTGGAGGTCAATATGCTGAAATGTCCTTTTATGTGGATTTTAAGAATCTTTGTAAGCCTATCTGTAGAAATGAAACAAACATGACACATCTCTTCTACTTATCTTGTCTAGGCAAAAGGCCCGAGATATGTTTGAAATAAAATGAGGAACAATTACTTGTGCCTGCTATGTATCATTCATCCTTTCCCTTTAAAATATAAAATATTAGTCTGTTGAGGAGAGTAGTGTGATATCACAAACATGCTATTTATTTGTCAAGGAGAGGGAGTGCTATTATCTAATCTCCACATTTGGTTTTACAGATAACTGGTATCAATTTGAGTTGAATGAAATGGCTTGTATCTGTTGATATTGCTAATGCTACATCCTGTTTTCACAAGATAGCTGTAGCTGCCACAAGGTAATGAATTTAGTAAAATAATTTTAAGTTTTTTAAGCTGCTGGATTTATAGATGTCATATATTTTGTAGCACTTGATTGCAAGGTATATACATTTATTGAGATGGATGGATGGATAGATGGATGGATGGATGAATGGATGGATGGATGGAAGATAGATAGATGATAGATAGATAGATAGATAGATAGATGATATGCTTGTAGGTAAACACTCACCTTTAAAAAAAGTAAAATATATAAAACCCTCTTTTCCAATCTGGTGTCTTATTTTACTTTTGATTGCATGTATCTATTTGTAGCTTCTGTTGTCAGTTTCAGATTAGGTTGAATTTAAAGTTTTGTAGTTTTTCTGAGTATATTAATTATTTCTCTGAGCTTATAGACATCTTTGGAATAGGGAGTGCAGGGACATATGAAAAATATCAAGAAGGCAGTTCCAAGAATGCAACCAAACACTCTTCTTTTTTCTGTGAGTTGTGAATGCAATGCATGTTTTAAAAGGGACAAGATATTCTGCCACCTTGCTCTGCCTGAATGCACTCGGGGTAGAAGTTGGAATATAAATTAAATACATAATCAGAAAATAATTTTGAAAGGTGGCACAGAATTGTTAAAGCTACAGAAATCTAGTGCTGAACTGCCTCAAAATATACCTGATATACAGTATTTGAAAGGCCTAAGCAGAGAAATAGCACACTTCCACTGTTTAACTTCTTAGTGCTACTCCTAAATTTCAGATGAAATCTACCTTCCTGTAATTGTGACCCTTGAGAACTCGTCATGTGCAGAAGACAACACTGGAAACAAATATAAAGCTTCAGTTTTTAAAAGATGTCATTGTTCCTTGATGTTCCACATTGTTCAGACTGCATGTTGACTAAAGTTTTGATCATTACATTTTAGGAAGAATACGTGTAAAGTGGAAAATGTCCAAAGGAAAGAAATCAAGGACGGTAAGATAAGCATTTAATCCAGACACAATAATTGTCTTCAATTAATCAAAGGGCTGCCAAACAGGTCTATGCATTTTGGAACAATAGACAGTCATGCACCCTGAAGTACCATCACCCAACTGTGACCAAAGAAGAAAGAGAAATGAGATACAACAAGATCTCATTTGATTCTTGATCCTGATCACATGATATGCATAATTTGGGACTGTGGTTACTTACTGCCCAACATAAAAAAAGTCTGGTTTTATTGGCAATGAAGAGCTTTCCTTTTGTTCTTACTTGACAAGAATCATATCTCACAGCAAACATCCCTCCACGCTTTATGAAGGATTGGTAATCCATCGTTCAAAGTAAATACCATTGAATAAATATGAACCTCCTCTTTCTTCCATATCACCTTAATTTTAAAGTTCTGTTGAATCAAACTGTAAACAAATAATGAATATACTCTTAAAATACTCTACAGTAGCTATCCAAACTATTTTTCAGCTTGACATGTTAACATTACCATAAGTTCTTATTAAGATAAGTACATCCATAGCAAATTTTCCAAAACACTTGACTTCTTTTTCTCAACTGAGAAGGCTAATTAATTGCTAATACTAATTTCAGAAATCTGGCACAACCACAGGTATTTGGCTGTCCCAAGAATAAAAGAGAAACAGTGTAAAATATATTGTCTGTTTATTATACTTTTCAACTTCAGAACATAAATTTCACAAAAAACTCACAATCGTAAGCCTGTAGTGTATAATCAAGAATGAATCATTTAGCTATGTAGAGCTAGGGTCTGTATATATATTTTTCATCAAAACATAACTAAATAAAGTAATTGTACAGCTTTTAAGAGACAGTATTTTAAAAGTATGCTGGTAATTTTAATATACTTTTTTATTATCTTGCTTTTAAAAATTCTTTAAAAAAAAATAAACATGAAAACTAGTGTCAGCGCCATTAAGTAGACTAGAGTAGGAAATCAACTCCACAAGAAGACTAAAAGCACTTTTAGTGAGATAATCATAGAATCTTGCCACCCTGATTGTGCTGTACCTTCTCTTCCTCTTTATAGTTAAATGAGTTGGGGAGGCTTCTACCTAAGATGCTTTTGAATCTTATCTGGTTGTTGTGGACTTAAAAAATGTTTCAGTCCTTTCTGCCTAGGTAACCCTTTTCACATATCTCTGACAAAGTCATTTCCTTACTCCTTATAGCCAGGTAACAGAAGCTCATTCTTGCTTGATAAATTAAAGAAGCAGTTGCCCCAAATAAACATGAGGCATTTTCCTTAATAGATCAAAGACATAAAACCACCTTGCTTAGTGACTACAATTTGACCAGAAACTATGGTCACTTAATTGCCACTGTCACTAAGTGGAAAATCATGTTTCTGTGACTGGCTTAAGACCTTCCCATTTGTGAACCACCATTGTCATAAAGCACATGACAGAGACTTTCTCCTTCTCTAGTAACTCTTTAGTCATAAGCCAGTTGCAAAGAGCCCAAGTGGCAATCACATAGCTATGGGATGCTGCAATGCTCCTGCTGTAAATGTGAGGATTGGTCACTAAGCTATTTTTTTTTATCAATGTGACTTTCAGGGAAGAACTGCCTTAATTCTTCTGAATACTACTTTGCTTCCTAGAACTTAAGGAAAGTTCAGCCTTCTTTGTTTATAGAACGGTTCTTGTCTATTTCCTTCAAGGTCATAACCAGGTAAGTATATTCTGGAGAAGCTATAATAAGATAAAAATAAGAACCTCTTTGTATGCCAGTTTTTGTACAGATACTGCTTTTTTAAATTAAAAAATGTAAGCATATTTCTTACAGGCAACTGAAAGTATTTGAAGGATTTATCAATTGTCTACACACCGAACAGATAATCACAATAACTCTTCAATATATCTCATCAGTTCTGTAGCCAAAATCTGAATCTCTTGTCTGAGTATCTCTTTTAAAAGTAGGATACAAACTTTAGGAATTTTGAGTTTAATACTGGATTAATTTGAACCAATCACAATATTTCAGTCACATCTCTCTTTACAATACGAGGATAAAATAATGAAATAAAGGCTATTCCCACAATTCTGAGTTCTTTGGAAAAAACATAATGATGAAAAATATAATACATAAATTGTATCCACACACTATGAAATGTAGACACGTACAACACTGAGTTCAGAAACAAATGCCCGATCTTCTTGTGTCCAGAAGCAAATAGAAGAAAAAAAGAACTCAAACTTCACAAGAAGATCTACTCTTGTTCAACAAACCAGCTAGTTTATTTGTTCAAATCAGATGCCATATTAGCATGGCTCCAAATCCAGATATAGTTGAGTGCTCCGAAGCTTTAGGAATTTGCTAAAGGAAATTTCAGGCACTATTGGATTATTGACGAAGCAAAGTGAAACTAAATAGCTTATCCAAAAATGTATCTATTCTAAGACCATTGCTGGTACACAAACTTAATATTGTGAATTTCTCAATTCACAATTATATTTTACGATAAGATGAAAATAGTATTACAACAGAGTAGTTAAGAAAGGGGTATGTGATTGTGTGTGCATATATACAGATACATATAAGTGATTTGGAGCTTACTGAGTACACCCTTCCCATGGAGAAATGGTATTGAAAGATTATAAATAATTAGATATAGTTTTTTTAACAAAAAACATTCAGAATGAAAAGCCTAAAGCTGAGCTTTACATTCTAATAGTCAGCAGGGTTTCCTGTAGCAAAGATTTTTTTTATTCTGGATTGCTAGTGAAATATTCGAATATTATGTACCTGTTTCTCAGATTTAATTGTGACTTTGACAAAAGCAATACTTGTGAAATATTCTCTATGTACCTCTTGAACACAAAAACAACATTCTTGCAAAAATCCAAGTCTCCCCCCCCCAAAAAAAAATGAGTCAGAGAAAAAATAAGTATTCTAAGTCCAAGGCTGGTGTTTTTATTCACTGTTTGGGGGAGCCACACTGATGGAAATACAGGTGTTTATATCTGGCAGATTAAAAGTTTCTTTCTATCTATCCCTGTTTGTCATATCTTTGCCTTTATCACCATCAGAGCGCTTTAAAGAAGCAGCAAGCTAAACATTTCTCACCAACAAGATGTGCAGGACAGATGTATGGACCACTTCCTTTTCAATGAGCAGAAGGGGAAATTAGCAGGGATGTCCACCCAGGGACCATAGGACTTAAAACCACAATTGTACTAAAGTTGTAGCCAAATCTCTCAAAGGGACAGAAGTGTCCCCACAGAAAGCCTTTTAAACTAAATCAGGACTGCACTTTTTATCACCCACAAAGCCAAATCTAGCCCAGAGGTGACTGCAGGAAAGGTCAAAGGGGAAAGGGGTAGCAGTGAAGAGAAATGGCGGAAACAGGATTGTGCTTTTGCACCACAAGTTCCATCCCTTTTGTACAGGCACTGTGACATTGCACAGATGTTCAAAAAGAATGGAGTTTGTGTCAGAATAGTACATTGCTCATTTCATTATTTTGACAAAAGCATCAGTTCTTGTAGCGATCCCTATTCCAGACTATTAGCCATATGACTGAATTTAAATTATCATTAATATTCCTAATTCTTAATACTTCACAATAAAATTTATAATTCTAGTTATAAAATGTCCTCACTGAATTTGTAAAGCCATTTATAAAATATGATTATTAAAATTTGGATAATATATACTTTATCAATTTTTTTTATTTGCAGTACAACCTAATTTTCTTGGCTTTCTTCCACCCTCATGGATAGCAATTTAAACCGAACCAGGTCTATACAACATATGACCCATCAAAGAGGTCACTGGTTGTGCCTGAAAAAACTTATGTTGTGCAGTTGTGACCACATGGCCTTTTGAATGTGATATCTCAATTTCCATTAGAAGTCTTTGTCATGATTCCTCTTTTAATTTTGGGGCATAATCTACAGGTATTACTGTAGGAAAGATAGAACTCCAATTTCCACACAATGCACAAAGATCCATCTCTTAATAGGAGGGGAAAGGATGTATGACTCTTCCAACTACTCTTTTTTACCCTGGTGCTAAATGGTCAGCCATTACTTTGTATGGGGAGTACAGGGTTACTTACATTAATTTCGGTTATAGCAATATCAACGACGCTACCAACAACAATTAAGGCATCAAAAGTGTTCCATGCATCAGTGAAATAGTGCTGTTAGGACAAGCATTCAGTAGCACGAGAAAACAGAAACAGAAAAAAAGAGAAGAAAAGGACAGTGTTATAACACAGAAACACAATGTACCCAGTACTGCATCTTTCCATCTCAAATCTGAGAAAACGGGAAGCAAACTATGAATTATGTCTGTCCTGCATTTGGAGTTAAGAACATATCCAAAGTTCTGTGACTTGTCCAAATAACATAATAAAAGGGGGGAAGGGAAAACAGAGATAAAGAAAGGGCTCGGGGGGGGGAGGAGGGAAGGGGAAAGAAAAAGAGAGAGAGAGGGAGAGAAATAGCAGAGTGGGACTGCGGGGGTTTGCTGGGAAATACTCACATCGGCTTCACTGAGAATGATGTCTACTATGCTGCCAAGAACGACGAGGGAGTCAAACGAGTTCCAGGCATCACTAAAATAGCCCTGAACAGAGCAGGCAGGGTGCAAATGTTTGTAATTACATATGAAATGTCAGAATATTTGCATTCTTCTGTTTAACTTTTTCATAAACAGAAAATACATCAAACAAAAATTCTGTGGCCTCATGAGAAGAAAATAAACAATATTGCCTACTGAAGGAAAGGCTTATATGTGACATGATACCACTGCCATATGCCAACAGAGTTCTGCAGCAGATGGTTTATGTTGTAAATATGGACACACAGGGTACTGGCAGTATGAGAAAAGAATATCCTCCAGAGTGCTCCAATTTGAGACTTCACTACAAATTAACATCAACTTCTAAAGTAGTTACTGTTATGGATGAGAACTACCACAAACCCTGATGCTGCCCGAGGGCACCAGTTTGCCACCTCAAGCTTGTTGTGATACTCATGGACACCTGATAGCCTCCCTCACAATTCACCTTTCACTGCCCAAATGCATCTCTCATATAACATACTGAAAGAAAGGCTGCCTATGTAAAATCCTGGTGGACAGGACAATTCAGAGGAGACTATTAAAATCTAAATATAATGTCATGCTCCTGTGTAGTTTACTTCTGCAAACTAATATGTTGCAACACAAAACATAAATAAAGAAGTGTTCAATAACCTTTGTGTAGAATTATGTTTTAAGCAGAATCACCCCAAATCTCATCATGTAGATAGGAACACAAGAAAATGCCATCATGGTATATTTTTTTTAAACTTTGGCTGTGTTTACATGGCATGCTTAACCCATCATTGGTAGGGTTAATGGTTAGTATGCTGTGAGAACAACTATGCTCAGGCATGGGGTTAGAAAGGGATAGTTTTAACCTAAAATGTGCTGGGATAGTTCGCCAACAGTTTCAAAGACAGTTTGTAGTAGCTGAGTTTCTTACAAAGATGGCTCACTTTGGATAGAAACGGTTTGGGTCAGTTATGTGATATGAACTGATACGTAGTCTAACCAATAGTTTTGAAAGATTTCCAAATGGAAAATTCTCCAGATCTAATTCAGAAGGGCTAAGGATTAAGCCACAGATCTTCTGCACGAAAGCAAATATTCTAGCACTAAACTATTTCCTTCTGATATTATATATGATTAGTAATGTCCAAGCTAAATTAAAAATTGAAGTCCATTTGGCATACAATATAAGAAATTATAAGGATGAGTGTGGAACTTATGGGCAACACATAGATCCAGTGGCAGTTTAAATCAGCTTATATGACTCTTTTAAAAAAATAAGGTTCTTTTCCCAATTGCAACATGTAATTAGTGCCTCTTTAAGCCCTCAAAATAGGAAATAAATAAAAGAACAAGCCAACAAAACTGATATTTCCAATTAAGAAATATGGTCAGTCTTTGTTGTCTCAGTAACATGGGCTTCGAACTTCATGATTGAAACAAAATGTATTGCTTGATCAGCACATTTCAGGAAAAAAGCCAGACAAAAGTAAACAAAGTTGGATCATGAGAAGATTGCACTCACGATAGAGGAGGTTGAGAAGCACCTCAGGCAAAGCATGGGCACTCCAAAATGTTTGCCAATCCTTAACTGGAAAGAGCTTGAATGGACCCCTGTCTTACTGAGTCACTATAAGATTACTGGAATTTTAAACTGCATGTCACATATTAATCACTTAAGGCACACCTTTCCCATGCTCAATATTGTTTCCAGCAATGTGTAGGGGCAAAGCAAGCAAATACAAATAAGAACACAAGTAAAAGAAATCGAGATGATTCTGGAAAAGGGAAAAATGCAAAATATGGACAAGTCACAGCAAGTAAACTTGCATCACACATCCCAATAACCTTCATCACTGCAATAACCGAAGATGAAATTACTTACTAGATATCTTTTCTTTTTTGGCACACAAATCTGATAAACAATGGCAAGGGAAAATAATTCCACATTTAGTTACAGAATGCTTGGTTTTCACAACCTCATGAACTTTGCAAATAATTTATGGTATTCAATTTTTATAAACTGGAAAACGAGTAGTGGAATGGCTTGTGGCCTAAAGTATGATGTCGTCCTCCACTCCCTCAATGATAAGTTGCAGGGCTAAACCCCCAATGACATGTGTGAACTGAGCATGCCCATCTGGAAAAGAATTCCTAAGTTCAAGCAGCTACTGGCAAAGTGGAGACTCTTGGCTCAGTAGACATTCTGATTCCATAGGTGGCCTTATATGGAAGAGCCTGTCTTCTAATGGAGGTTCATCTCCATTCAGCATGTGGATATTGGAGGACTAGATTGTCATCAGTTATGAGACATGGCATGGTTTCACTCCTAGTTCAAAGTATAATTGATTACATGATGAATGGCAGAAACAATTATGCATCTACAAAGCCTGGGATTAGATTGGATCCATAACCAAAATAAAAATCTGATAGTAGCTTATATCCAAATTGTTATTTTTGAATAACACTGAGAATTGTTAAACTTTGTTAAACTACTGAATTTGAAAAAAAGAGAGTCATATTTAATTGCTGGAGTCCATTTGCTTATTTGCAAACTGTTCATAAGCTACACTGCTTCCAAATGTGTCAGTGCCCACCTACAAACATGCCTGTTCTTTTTGCCCAAATTATGTAAAAAAAAATCTGTGAAATATTTGTGGCATAAAGACACTGCCTGTTTTGTGTTATACTACTACAGTGGTTAAACATTGACATTGATATTCAATATGTTTGGGAGTGTAATATATGTTCAGAACTATCTGAAAAAAAATAGTGGATTTATAACTTTAATATATTTCTTATTTATATATTACCAGCAATACTTTTTTTTAAAAAAAAAAATAATGTTTCTTCATTTTATTTCCTGCAGTTGCATTAACACAGTTATCAGATTTAAGATTTTTGGTGAAGATACTGTATTTCTGATGATTAACCATGAAAAACTCACATTTACCTACTTATGTGTGCTGATCTAAGCAAAAAATACTTGTAAATTAAAAAGAAGCAACTAAAAAAGAAATGCTAATTAAATCATGCATAATCTCTTACCTTCGGTTTAAATGCAATGAGTTTCAGAACCATTTCAACAGTAAACACTGCAGTAAACACCATATTCAGAATATCCATTGCATCATTAAATAGTTTAGACTGTCCATAGTGCTATGAATAAAACAAATGAGAAAAATATTAATATAACTAAATATTTTTTCAGGCAATCAAAATAAATGAACAACACATTTCTAACATTCTACCGCAAATCTTGTACTAAAAAGATTAGTATGAAATCCTATGTTGTTAATACTTCACAAGGAGAAGTTTGGAAAGTGCAGTATAAAGGCTACAAAACAAGGAGATGGTGAGTTCTAGTCCCTCCTTAGGCACAAAAACCAGCTGTGTAACTTTGGACCATTCTTTCTCAACCCAATTCACCTCACAGGGTTGTTGTTGTAGGGAAAATAGGAGAAGGAAAGTGTATTAGGTACGTTTGCCGTCTTGAGTTATTTATAAAAATAATAAAAGTGGGATTGAATATAAATAATTAAACAAACATATGACGATCACTTATTACCCAGCCACAAATAGCATTTATTTGTTGTTTCTTTCTAAATCTACTGTGAAATAACATACTGACATCAAAGTAAATTATTGTTCCCTATTAGATATTATTTCTCCCAATATTAGGAAATAATTTATTAAGTCAATTATTTATCAACTTTTATTAAGTGGCCCTTCTCTTTATCTTAAAAATATCCCTTTTCTTAAATCCAATTGTTCTTTACCTCCAGCTCCTTAAAAAGATCAATCACTACTGATATTAAATATGATAATCCGATTAAGTTTGCTCTTAAGCAAGATTTGTAAGCAATTCTCAAAAGCTAGCTTAACATTAAATCATGATTTCTTTTAACCAAATCATGTTATTTGTTAAAGAAACCGCAATGCCTGGATTTACATCTTAATTGTTTAAAAATCATGACTACATTTGCAAAAAAGCACCAAACTAAAACAAAATGAATAACATCATGACTTGGCATAGCATGTAAATTCAGGTAAAACCAGTAAAAATGAACTGACTAGCTTTGACCAGAATTAACCTGGAAGGTGAAAATTGGCTGGATTGATACATTGTGCTAAAACGCAATTCCTTTTCATTTTGGCTTGTGGAATAAGCCAGAATGGCTAGCCCTAACCCTAATCCTAACCTTTTTGTACTTGTGTGATAAGATTGCAGACAAGTACAGGTAGTCTTTGACTTACCACCATAATTGTGCCCAAAATTTCTGTTGCCAAGTGAGACAGTTGTTAAGTAAGTTTTGCCCCATTTTGTGACCTTTCTTGCCAGTTGTTCAGTGAATCAGTGCAGTTGTTAAGTTAGTAACATGTTTGTTAAGTAAGTCAGAAGGTTGCAAAAGGGTCACGGGGCCCTAGGACACTGTAACTGTCCTGAGTCAGTTGCCAAGTGTCTGAATTTTGATCATGTGACCATGGGGATGCTGCAATGGCCATAAGTG